AAATATTGTTGAAAAATGCACACACACATTCAGCGATTGTTTTGCTTTTAATGCCTTATGTTTTTAGCTCACAAGTTGGCATCGAGCAAGCTCTAAAATTAGCCGGAAAACATTGGCTAAAATTTTGCGAGAGTATTTATTGTCCATCCAGGAAATCGTATATCTAAGTCGAGTTTTGATTTGCACTTGCGCCACACCTTAGGACATTTCAAGGGTATTTGTGGCGAAATGACGACTTCGAATACTGAAAAAGCTGTGAAATTAAACTTTTCAAGGATACTCTATGTTTACATATAGTCTAAATTCGGTTTTGAGGCTAAATTTCCTGCACTTAATTTTATCACAGTCTCAAAAATGAGTCCATTTTGCGGATTTCATCATCCTTTTCTCTCGATATCCTATTCATTGTCCATTTTGCATTTTTCAGTCCCGAATAAATTCACGGTAATCATGCATACTGGGGGTTAAGATTTTGCTTGGCTTACTGATACAACATTACCGTCCTGGGATGCTTTCTTCCTTCTGCGTGCAAGAAAATTATAAAACACAGCCAACAAGAGTTCACATGTTAAAGTGTAACATAACAACCATTCATGCTGCAAACGATCTGAATGCTTCCCGTTTAGTGTAAAAACGCATGATCGCACCGGCAAGCCTGATGTTTCGCTACCTGGGTTGCTTTTCGTTCGCAGAGTTCGAGAGGAGGCGGCAAAAGAGAAGTGCAGTTTGATCAGAAAGCGCTTGACTGTGTTGGAAATTCAGGAGCTGCAACAGTGAGTTTCAGGTACAAAAATGATTCGGCAACGAGCGGTGCGGAAGTGGAAGAAGGAGTTATTTAGTCAGCAAACACAGTTTAGTTGAGTGGTACCAAATGTATTCCTCTAAGTAGAGGATCACGATTGATGGATTCGAGTTTTGTGAATAATTTTTCAGAGTCTTCAACTTGGGAGCATATCAGCACAGCAGATTCCCAATGAGCAACAGCAGTCACAGATACAGCAACAACAGATCGGCTTTCAAACGCCAGCTTATGCATTCTCCTACAATCCAGATCCGTATTTACAGGCACAGCAGGTTTTGCATCAGCTAAATATGTACTGAAGCAGTATTTGAATAATCATGTGTGTGCCCAGCTCTCCACTTTTCACGTGGCCAGAGCCTTTATGTTCAGTTTTCATTCTGTTCTTAGCCTGTGGTTCCGAAATTAAATTGAGCTAATTTTAAAACTTTGAAGAATTAACAGCTGTGGAAGACGGAACGGTTAGTGCCCATATTCATCAAACATCACAAAGTACAGGAACTGAAATCAGTTCCGACCGCTTAGCTATGATTCAACAGCATCAAACTTAGCCTAAAAAACTAAATCACTGAGGTTCATCGGATGAGAACTGAAGCGTGAAAGAAGTCCTTACCTGTGACTTTAATTAGATAGATGCTGGTGGTATAAGTCAAGCATCGGCAGCGCGAACCAGGCTGGCCGATGCGATCATGCGTTTTTGTGCTGTTTCGCGCAGGTGAATGTGCCTCTCTTTTATACTACATTTTTGCTGTACAGCCAGCAAAAACGCAAATTGTCGAGAGGTCGTCTATGTGTGTATTCAGAAGCGAGTGAACTTTGTTACCTACTCTCATTTCAGCAACTAGGAAAGCTGGGAGACTAAAACTTTCGGTTTTTGTTCCTACCCCGTGTGCCATCCTCCGTTTTAAAATTTTCGCTTATACGCACCTAGACCCCGCTCACGGACCCCCGGAAGAAATATGCAAGTCCCTTTGGTGGAAAAAAGAGGAAAAAAAACAGTATACTAGGAGCACGAGTGTGGTACACACATATGCTGTACAGGTATGTCGCAAGTTTGTGAGATTGATAAATTTTTTGAATTTTCAGCTGCACCAACAGTACAGCAGTATCGCGGGTGCCACATCGCAATCATTTCGTGAGCATGCTACTGAGATCACTCGGATCGCCTGCTATCAACAGCAGACTAACGTATGTACGCACCATCGAAATGTTTCCGTTGAATTAGCTGTACAATCTCTAAGTAGCAGCGACGAGTTATTTTAAATTGAATTTGTTAAAGCATTTCTGTTGCCTTTCGCATTACCTCTGACGTTCGCGAATTTTACAGAACGATATGGCACGATATGCAAATGCAAAAGCGCATATTATTGAGAATTTGTCTGCTCATGTGCATGTTTGTCTGTGAATCTGTCGGTCTATGTGCTCCAAAAAGCTGGTGAACTTTGTCACCCGCTTTCAACTCAGCAATTGGAAAACTGGGAGACTGAAATTTTCGGAGAATATTCTCACCCCATATGTCACTCTCCCGTTTTAAAATCATCGCTTGTGCGCGCCTGGTTCTCACGTATGTGCTACTTAAAGATATGTGTGAATTTTTTGGCGGGAAAACGATTTTAGGAATTGGTAAACATACGAAGCTGGAATTCTGCGAGGATATTGTCTGTGCATTTATGAGCTAAAGGTTTCATATCCAATCATAATGCACGTTTAAGTCACGCACATGGTCGTTTCGAAGTTTGCAGACTAGCACTGGTCTAAAATTAGCCGAAAAACATTAGCTGAAACCTCGCCAAAATATTTACCGTTCATCTGGGAAATCGTATACCTAAATCAAGTTTCGATTTGTGCTTGTATCACGCCTTAGGAAGGGTCAAAGATATTTGTATTCAAGTGGCGACTTCGCTTAAAAGACAAGCTGAGAAGCTGAAATTTTGCAACGACATTCTATATTCATGTGCAATCTAAGTTCAGTTTGGAGGCTAACCCACTGCACATGGATATGACAAACACTTAGCCCAGCAGCGAGTGCGCTTTGCGAATTTCGCAATCTTTCGTTCCTGACATCCTATTCATTGCCAAATTTGCATTTATCAATGAACGACTGATCATCGGAAACTAATTTTTTCATGCAAAATTAATAATCATGCATGCTAGAGGCTCATGCGGCCCATGATGCAACACTACCACCCTAGCTGCCGTCATTTTCCGCCTACATGCAAGAAAATTTCAAAACATAACCTACATAAATATCATCCAAGCTACTGCCGATCTAACTGTTTTAAGTCAGTACAAAAACGCAAGGTGACATAGCCTAGGTCTTGATTTTACTAATGCTTATGACCTTCTACAAATTTACGGCCCAAACACCTCATCGTGTGATGCAGAATTAGCAGCGGATTAGGCTTAGTCAAGGCGTACCTAGGTGCAAACTCTGGTAGCTCTAAACATATCGGAGTGATACTGCGCAGCATTTTGACAAGCTAATCATAAACAATACGGCTACTGTTACCCCGACCGAAGAAAGGGGGTGAAGTAAAAGTCATAAGCAATGTACAAAACACAAAATTTTTGCTACACGATAATGGCATAGGAGTTAACATGAAAAGAAGATCATGAACAGACAGCTGCCGCACCAAGGCAGGTGTGTGAACAAGCGTTTTTGCACGATTCCCTGCTGCAACAAGACTGTTAACAGTAAAAGTGTTCATTACTTCACTGCTTGATGTGAGCACTGATTTTGAAAATGTACTTGTTGGATTTCCAGTGCAGGAGAGAAGAGTAGGAGGGAGGAAGGAAGGAGAAAGGCGGAGAGCGATTCAGTTCAGTCAGCATTTAGCCAAAAGTTAGGGGATCATTCTGCTGCGTAAGAACGGCACGAAAAATTGCCCAGTCTGCTCGTCACCAGGTTATAAGCTACTGACAAGGATCAACTAACAGCGAACAGCAACCAAGAGTGGTAGAGGATTTTCAACAGACACAGCACTTTCTTCCACTGCATTTGATATCATGCCAGTCAAGAATAGCTTGAGGGTCCATATCGCCCAGAGTTCCCATGGGCAGGGGTAGGAAAGTATTTAGCGAGTTGAATTTGAAACGCTTTGAAGATGCATGATGAGCGCCTACGTCATTTGCACTTTGCAGATGACTAAGTTTTCATTGCGGGAAGCACTTGCGAAATAGATGAGATGCAATAACAGATTAAAGTTTAAGTAACAAAATGAGACTGAAAATCATTGTGTAGGAATCATTGACGTATAAATGCAAAACCTTGTCGCTAACGAAAACAAGCGAACGTCTCGTGCCGAAGAGTGGAATGGAAAAACCATGTTTACAGTTCTTGCTATTTATAATGCAAGCAGTCGGACTCATTGTCCGGTGAACGGCGTGCAGGATGTCAGTGCACGAAGGTAGAATACGTCAGACATCTTACAGCTGATGGGTGTCGCATATTAGCGTGCAGTACGCGCCAGACTAGGTGAGCGGCCCTCTGGCACATATACATTAAACAGGCCACATCTAGGGCTACCCGGAACGGTTATGCCTGTCGTGTAGAACTGCTCCCCGGGTCTATACGCAACTTGTGCCAGGCCTTTTATTCTGGGATTCTTGCTTCCGCCTGTTAACGTGCCGTCATGCTATGCGCTTCAACAGTCACTCTGCCCTTTTGCGTGTACCATTTTCGGGTGAATACACAACATCTTCAAAATTAGCATATCAGTAGATATGGCAAAATGTTTTTCGTGTTTTTAAAAAGTAAATTGGTGAGGACGTACCAGTTCTCTATCTTTCAGGTCTCTTTAGTGATGAAAACTAACATCTGTTAATGGAGGGAAAACATCCTGTTTTAGGTACCAGGCAGCCGGGAGTACCTAATGGTAACAGGTCGGCCGCAGCAGGTATTCGTGCAACAACTCGCACAACAACATTTTTCTTCCACGGCTTCAGTACAACAACAGGAGCAGCAGCAACAAGACCTACAACACCATGCAATTGTGACTGATTCTCGGGGAAATACTGTAGGCCATTTTTCGGTCTTTCATGCATTGTATCGTTTTCATCCCCGAGTATGTTTGCAACAACTGCGAGAGTTCGCAGGTTGCTGCAGTGAACCCGTCATCACATGCAGTTGTATAGTGTTATCGCGACTGCTCCTTCTACTTACTTTTGTCCCCAGCGAACTGAGTATTGTGCCAGGGACAGAGTGAACAAAAAATAATACTAAAAGGAGAAGAATCAAAGAATGTAAATCTTGTCAGAAAAGTAGGTAAGCATGCAGTTGCATGCACCACCAGCTGGTCTGTCAATCGGTCGGTCGATTTGATTTAAACAAGAAAATAACTGGATGTGGTAGTCAGACAAATATGGGACCCGGATGATTGAGAGGCTCAGCGGATCGTACTACCGCCGCGGAAGCTGCTCCAGCTGGAACTCCCAATGCTTTGAACTGAGCTCTGGCCAGGGCACCATTCGGCATGTAATGTGGGATTCCAGGCCGAGGAGGCTCCCTAATGCTATCCTTGTTTCAGCCCCGCATGCCTTATCTCCTCTTAGTCTTTATATCATCCACTGCCCCTTCCCGGATGAGCCATTGGTTTTTATCTTTTACAGGACATGGTTACACCATCATCGGTGCAGTCCAGTGGGAGCGAGCAGTGCGGGGTGATACGCAAAGGTTAGCATCATCTCTCTGCGCAGTGGCGTGTATGCAGCAGCTTTGGTTTTGTCAGGACCTGCTCAAATTTCGATTTTTCTTGGTTCCACCAACAATATAAAAACATAAGGCATTAAAAGCAAAACAATCGCTGAATGTGTGTGTGCATTTTTCAACAATATTT